CGCCGCAATCCCTTCTCCATTCTCCTCTCGGGATCTTGGGCACGCACGCACACGCGCCCGGCGTGAGTTTTAAGCTACCGGGTCCGGGACACGAACCGCGGTCGACTATGTGGGAGTCCAGCGACATAGCCATTACGCTAACTGCTGGTTCCCAATATATAAATATTTTGAGGTAATGTGACAATGTCAGAACTTGAATTATTACAGAAAAAAATAAATAATTATGGCAAAATTTTGGAAAACATAATTATAGGAGGAATCGTTATATTATCCTCTTATGTATGTAGAAAAGAAAAGAGCAAAAGAAGAAAATAAACCAACATTACCTCTTTCCAGTCAACTCAACTTGGCCCTTCTTATTGAAGAAGAACTTGGAATCATTATATCCCCATCCATTCCATTTCATAACTTCTTGCCTAATGATAAAAAAATATAGATGAGACCTCTACTAAACATCTCAAAGCCGTATAATATTTGACTCTTTTATACTCATTTAAAAAGAGACCTTAGGGACCAGCAGACAAGTAACAGTTACATTGATAGACTTTGCCGTGGTCAACCACGATTTGAGTCCTGAACCCAGCAGCTTAAAACTCACACCAGCCACGTGTGCCCAAAATCCCAAGGCGAGAATAGAGGAGAAGACTGTGATGTAGCCCTCCCCCCATGGGTGACTTCTTACTTTTTCTCTCTCTTTCTCTCCAGTAACTACACATGCTCTATAGCAAAAATCTCTTTTAAAAAAGGAAAAAAAAAAAAAAAGAGAGAGACCTTATGCCCAGTAATGTTATATTATTAGCATTACCATGTTTAAATTAAAATTAAAACATACCAAAATGATTATATATTAGCACTTCTAAATAAGACTCACTCTCTGCTTCACTGAGAGCTATAACCAATCTTTTCTTTTTATCCCCATCATGTCACCTGCCTCAGTCTCCTAGCTCAAACTACAACACACACCACCACACCTGTTCTTGAGGTTGGACTGGGTCTCCCATGTAGTCCCAGCCTGCAGAGAAAAGTGTCTCGGCAGCATGTACCATCCTGGCTGGGCCATACAAGCAATAGACGGACTGTATTCAAAGGAAGGTGAGAGAAAAAGATAAAAGAAAAAAGGAGGGGGGTGGAGAACAAAACAATGGCACAGCAGTAAAACACGATGCGCTGTGGGGCTGACCCCCACAGGAAGGTTCCAGTTTCATATCCAGAAACCTCTCTGAGTATATTAGGTGTGTATGCTCATGGTTTACGCAGGGCTGGTTGAAGGCTGTGTGTGGATCACAATGTACAAGTAAAGATCCTGTTGCAGGGCCAACAGTCGTGTGGTGGTTAAGGTGGCTGGATCCCACATGGTTGACCGTACAGTTCAAGTCCCAGACCTGGAGCATGAGAAACATACAGGGTGCCATGTGCGTGTGTGTCAAGAATCCTGAAAGGAGGATGAAATGGAGAAGGGATGACCTCGCCCATTGGCAGTGCTTTCTCACTTTCCCTGTCTCTCTCTGTTTCTCTAGCAACTGCACATGACCTCTGGCAAATTTAAAGAAAATAAATATCTTGTTGCAGGTGCTGTCTCTCTCCACCAATGAAAAAAACAAACTTTTTACAAAGATGATGGAAGGAAGAATATATGCTCAAAGTATAAATCTTTCATTGTGTACATGTTACTGAGTTATATTGTAGGATAGCCAAAACACTTTGCAATTGAAATTAATAATTCATAGGTCAATCCCATCGCATAGTGGTCAAGCCCAAATGTAGCTGAAATCCCATCAATGGTGACTTAAAAAACACTCCAGGCATGAATGTATGTGTGCCCCAAATCCCAACAGTATGGGAAAATGGAAAAGAACTGTGGTGTGACCATCACCCACTGGGCATTGTTCTCTCCCTCTCTCTCTCTCTGTCTCTGGCAAGTGCACATGCCCTCTAGTAATTAAAAAAAAAAAAATGTTTCAGACATAAATTGCCTAGGCTTCTACTTTAAACTTTTAAACATAACTACCCCTGCAAGTTACTAATGTATACTAACAGTTAAACATAACTATGGGGGCTGGCAGGTGGCATGGTGGTTGGGATGCTGGACTCCCACATGGCCAACAGAGGTTCAAGTCCCAGACCTGGAAGCTTGCTTTCTCACTTTCCCTTTCTCTCTCTTGATAAATTAATAAATGAAATAATTTGTTTAAAAAAACTATGTAATTATATTAAGTTTTAAAATACCTTCTTATATAGAAATATGAGTATAATATGTACATTGAAGGACATTACAGTATCAAAATATTTAAATTAATCTTTTACATAGTCAAAGAACTAGAAAGTAGAAGGATCTTTAGAAACACTTAGTTCAACTGCTCATTTTTCAGATAAAGAAACTGCCCAGAGAAGCGCCATGGTCATACAACTATGCTAGCTATGAGCATCTGAAGTAATATCTGAAAACTACTAAGTGATGCTTTAAGATAATCAAATCAAAATTACTTAAAGAAACCATTTTATTGTCGCATCAGTATTTTTCAAATATGCTAGTACATGTTATGATTGTAATCATTCTACACTTGACATGAAGGAAAAAATTTAAAAATCGAGGAATAAGGTTGTGTCAGAAAGTCAAGTGACTTATACCTCCTATAGTATAATAAATCTCGCCATTCATCATAATAAACCCCACAGCACTGCTAGTACTGAAAAAAGAGATCAAAGAATTAACAACTTTCCAAAAGATTCGAATAAAAAGATGTAATTCTCAACTAACTCCAGAGATGATTAACCAGAGGGATTTGTCAGACATTTTAATTCTTAGAAATAACTATACCAAATTTAAAGTCTTCAAAATACAAAACCTTCCTGTTGTCAAAAAATCCAAATTAGAAACTGTCTTGATTATACTAAATTTAAAAAAAAAATGTTTTACACATTTACACATTTGATCTAGGTCCCAAATGGTGAAAAAGCACTGTATTAGCTGTATAACAAAAGAAAATGGAGACTTACAAAATAACATCACATATACACAAGGTGGCAGCACACTCCCATGATACATATCATGTACCTATTCTCATTTGCATTGCCCAACCTGTCAGTAGCAGTCTTTAAGTGAAAAATTTAGATTTATCTTTATTATAATTAACACAATATAAAGTCTTTTCTGTATTCTTGAAATGAAAACTGTTCACTTTAATGTATCTGTTTATACATATATTTATTGTGAGGTACTATTCCACTACTAGTAATAAATTGTAAGTATCCTGATATAAATGCATTGTTCTTACCATTATCAGTTATATTCACAATATTTTTCACTAGATAATAAGAGAAAATAAATTATTTATTCTACTTTAATTCTGGGTTAACAATAAAAAAGGTCAGCTAGCCAATAAAATTTTTCTTTCTTAGCAAATAAATTTTTAAAGTTCTTCTGATAAAATTTCAATAATCAAAATTCTAATAAAAATATTTCATTACTTAGTTCAAATGAAAATCAAATATTTGCTTATCTTTTCCAATTTTAACAATAAAAAAGATCATATGATTTCAGAGAAAAGAAAACAGAACTCTAAAACTTAAGTGCTAGATTTCTACCTAGCCAATCTTGGTATCAATTAAATTCAAATCAATTCTATATGTAATATAATATGCCAAATTTACTTTTTAAAAAGCCTTGGAGAATTCTGTGTACTAATTAAATTCCTTATTATGTAGTTGCATGCTTAATTACTTCAAGACTCAGATAACTTAAATCATGAAAATGAAGTAAAAATAACCTACTAAGATAAAATCATGCTACAAAAATTCCTATGAATGAAATACTATTCCTACTGACTTTTCTTAAAAAAACAAAAATGAGGAACCAGTGATGGCATATTGGTTATGTCACTGGACTCCCACGTAGTCGACCACAGTTCGAGTCCTGGACACAGCAGCTTAAAATTCACACCAGGTACGTGTGCATGCAAGTCTAAAATCCCAAAAGGAGAATGTAGGAGAAAGAATTGCAGCATGGCCATTCACCCTGAGGGGTGATTTACTTTCTTTCTTTCTGTTCTCTGTCTCTCTGGTGAACATACAGGCCCTATTTTTTAAAAAATCTCTCTTTAAGTAAAAAAAGAAAGAAATTGAGTTCGCATCAGAAATATAAAAGCCTGCAGTCAATGCTCTAAAGCTGGTGAGGTTCATGAGGATTCCTCTGAACCTCCTGGGCAGGAGATAAGACAAGAGAAACTCTTCTTCAAAACTACAAAAGAATAGGATACAGGAAAACAAAATCTCTCTCTAAATTCTTAACAGCAGTTTAGACCATGCAGAAGAATCTCTGACCCTGAAGAAAAAGACCTCTGATTTAGGAGTCAGCAAGTGACATGGTAGTTAAGGGGCTGGACTCCTTCATGGTGACACAGCTCAAGTCTCAGACCTGACAGCTTGCTTTCTCACATATTTTCTCTCCCTCTTTCTCTCTCTCTCACTCTCTCTCTCTTACTCTCCTTCTCTGTGGTGAGAATGTGTGCCCTACGGAAAATTAAAATAACAATAATAAATAAAATTAAATAAATTATTTTTTAAAATCTTCCAACTTATTCCAAGATGCCAACGAGAATGAAAAAATAACCATTAAAAATGAGGACAGGTGCCAGCAGGTGGCATGGTGGTTAAGGGCACTGGACTCCCACATAGCCAACCATGATTCGAATCTCAGACCTGGAAGCTTGCTTTCTCACTCTCCCTCTCCTGCTCTCACTGTCCCTCTCTAGACAAATTTAAATAAATAAATAAATAAATAGATGAAGTTAAATAAAACAATTCTTTAAAAAATGAGGATGACATACAGGAAACCCTCAGCATCAATAAACAGTCAAATATCTGCATAGTAGGTATTCCAGAATGTGAAGAGAAAGGTACAGGGATAGAAAGTTTCTTTCATGAAATATTATGTGAAAACTTTCCAAATCTAGAGAGATATACAGACATCTAGATCCAAGAAATAAAAAGGACACAAACAGATGCAACATAAGAAGCTCCTCTCCAAGGGTCAGCACATGGCATGGTGGTTAAGGCGCTGGATTCTCACATGGCCGACCACAGTTTGGGTCCTGGACCTGGTAGCTTACTTTCTCACTTTCCCACTCTCTCTCTGTCTTTCTCTGGTGAGCACACATGCCCTATAGCAAACCTAAAAATAATAACAATAATAATAAACAAAATTTAAAAAATTATCCTCTCCAAGGAGCATCATAGCCAAACTTGCAAAAGTTAGACAATATCTAAAAATGGTATGAAAGAAACATCAAGTTACTTACAAAGGATACACCATCAGACTAACCTCAGAACTCTCATCAGAAACAATGAGGGCAAGGAAATAGGAAGACATATTTAAAATTCTGAAAGAATAATACTTTTGCCAAGAATACGAT